GCAGTTCAGGTGAGAGTCTGATGAGACACCACGTGTCATCACCTCTAACAAGTGGCAGTTCAGGTGAGAGCCTGATGGGACACCACGTGTCATCACCTATCACAAGTGGCAGTTCAGCTGAGAGTCTGATGGGACACCACGTGTCATCACCTCTAACAAGTGGCAGTTCAGGTGAGAGCCTGATGAGACACCACGTGTCATCACCTCTAACAAGTGGCAGTTCAGGTGAGAGCCTGATGAGACACCACGTGTCATCACCACTAACAAGTGGCAGTTCAGGTGAGAGTCTGATGGGACACCACGTGTCATCACCGATGTAGAGTTGATTCAACTGAATCAATGTTGCTGAAAGTATTCACTCCCAGAAAGCTGTGGGGCCGATGGGTCTTATCTATTTAATATTTTATACATGGCTAGCTAATTGTTCATTCCTTGAATGGTGCGCGTTTAGTCTCTGGTGATGATGTAACTATTTTTTTTTTCAAAATACCGCGACGCGAACATTCTGCAAAACGCCCAACAGGGGCTTCCTACCAAACGTGAGCAAGTAGTTCATCACAATGCTTTTGCCCAACAGGCGGCTACATCAATCGGTGAATCTCTTTATTTACAATGACATTAAAATACCAGAATGCCTGGGGAGCGAATCGAACTGTGATGGCAGAGCTCAGTGGCGTGGTCGATGGCCACTGAGGCTGTTCAATCACCGCGTCGGCCCAGGTCACAACTACGAGATGATATGCATTATGGTAGTAAGGGCAAATATGCAAAATAAATACACGGTCTGTATATGTACATGGCTAGTGCGCTTGTTATTTCCTTCACAATTTTATCGGCATTTGAGTCCTTTGCGATTCGTGAATTGTGAGTTAAAAGAATCGGCTCGTGTCGATGAATCGTTGCACGGCAAATGGAATGAAGTGTCCGTGTGAAATGTTAACCGGTAGATGTTGCTCAGAGGTGGATGCGTTGAACTACGAGTGACACACACCGTGTACATTACTGTCAACATTTCCTCTTGGTTTTCAACATTCCTCCGGCAAATCAATTGGCACATTATACCAAGCGACAACTTGATTTGATTGGCTCTGTCGGGCAGTGGAGGGTTATCGTTAAAGAAATGGCGTGAGACCGAAACGATTAACCATAGATGATCTAACCCTAAAAAACGCGAAATTGACCGACAAGCAAAGGAGGCGGTTACCCACCCAGGGACATCAAAGGAGAAGGAGCGACCTCCCGTGGACTTGAGTGGTCCATCACGCGATTCAGTACGGAACTTATACACAGTTACGCTTGGGATATCTAAGAGAGTAATCGATGTGAGAGTGAAGGTAAGACATAGCAGACGACTTGGAGGTGGGGGTTGGTGGATCACGGAGAGTTGGGGGGGCGAGTATGTGCGCGAGACAGTAGTAACTTAAAATGTTGTCTGTAGGAGGAAATACAGCCAGCAGGTAATAGGTTCCTTATCCATCTCTACGGAATGTGGTAACATTGATGTTGAGCAGGCACGTTGGCACACGCATAACTTGACTGAAAAAGAATAATTAACATGAGCACCTTTTTTTCCTGGGTAAACAATTTAAATCTTTGATATTACTGTGTCTATATCTTATCGCGACCGCATGTTTGGTGAGGAGTTAGACAATCCGAGCTCGATCAGAGTGGGCCCTGCCGACTTTATTTAACGAACATCTTGTACTTAATCAAGTGAGGGCCGATTACAATGAATGTTAAAAAAATGTTTTTTTTAATCGGATCACTCATAATAAATTCGGTGTAGCAAAGTGTTTGTTTTGCGGTTAGGCTACACGATAGTTGTAATGCTAAAATTATTGTCATCAACCCTCCACCACCCGACAAGATTGCCACGTCTACAAAGGTCGTATGTATACGTGTCGAGTGGTGATCACATTCTGACCGAGCCCAGCAGCGGTTTAAAGACTCTTCGTGACTGATTTCAACAACGAATGAGCGCCACGTGTACGCACACGAATAGACGCATCCTTCTCGCACAATGTGTTAGGAATGATAGTTCGCAATGCAGGCATCTTAATACAGGCACGGGCTTCATCTGCGCTTACTTGGTGGAGAAGCTGAGTTAATCAGTAGTGTAATTACGAGTCTAAATCCCGACTTGGCTCATCATACAATCATCATACAATCATCACCGTGACTGGTACATCAAGCATCGTGGTCCTATGGAGATGGCCCCGTTCCCGCCACACAACCGTGGATGTTCCACGACCTGTCTCCGGGAACCACGAGGAAGATGACCAATGCCCTTTGAATCGCATTAACGCGCTAAGGAGATCGCTCGTTCTGCTGGGCTGGTCCCGTGGGCTGGAGCCGCCTTGCCGCTGCCATCAGCGCCGTCCGTCCACTGCCCCGGCCCTCTCCAAGCACCGCCCAGCCTCAACATTTCCATTCTTTCCTCTGCCCGTGGCTGCCTCTTTTTCTATAAATATCTAGTCAACACAAAATAATGCCAGCCGCCCTGTGTTGTACAAAGCGCCTGAAGACTTGAGATACGGTCGCCTACCAAACGTTCCATAAATCAAAAGCGAATGTGTGCGTGTGTAGTAAATAGTGAGCGTGTGACCGGGTGGGAAGGGTTGTGAATGGAAGCGGGGGGGGGGGGGGCAAGGGGAATAGTTGTGGGTGGCGCGGTTTGTGCGGTGGGGGGGGGGTCACGCGCGGTCACGCGCGCGAGGCTCTCGTAAGGGGGCGCTGCGCTGAAGAGCGCGCGCGGCGAAAGCGCCGCGTGGGAGCGCGCTGGGCACGAGGAGGCGGCGGTTCCGAGTCGACAACGAAGTTGACCCCCATCCCCCTGCCCCGCGGACGCCGGGTTCGGTACCGGACTTCGGCAGCAGACTTCACTACGCGCGGTTTCATGGGAGATTGAATGTTGTTGTCGAGACCTTTTTTTTTACCGCGAATCGATTGAGCGTGTTTTTATTTCCTCTCTTTTGTTAAGCGGGTTGAATTTAGCGGACGTTCTGTGTCACCTCTTCAATGATCTCCAATCTCCAATGACACGTGTCATCTCCAGACACGTGTCATCTCCAGACACGTGTCATCTCCAGACACGTGTCATTGGAACAGACACGTGTCATCTCCAGACACGTGTCATCTCCAATGACACGTGTCTTCTCCAATGACACGCGTCATCTCCAATGACACGTGTCATCTCCAGACACGTGTCATCTCCAGACACGTGTCATCTCCAGACACGTGTCTTATCTAGACACGTGTCATCTCCACGCTTTGGCGAACGTTTCTGGATTTGTTTGTCCTTCATGTTTATTTTGTTAATGACCACTTTTGTAGAACACGTCATAGCAGATAACTACGAACTGATAAAAAAAATAAACCTTCTTTAAATGTATTCAATTCCCATCGTCAGCCTTATCACACTCCTATGCAAACAATCTATGCCTCGAGTATTCTGGCTGGCTGCTGACTGGGCTCCTCTCCACCCCAACAATAGCTCGATTGTTAGTGGCCGCGGGCCGTTACCACCACAACGAGCTGGGTAACTGGTTACACGGATGTTTCGTGTTACGAATAAACGTTTGAGTTGAATTTAAACGACTGAAGAAGTTCGGAAGGCGTTTAATAGAAAGAGGTTAGAGTAACGAATACAAAAGACTGACCACGGTTCATGTAAAATGTTCTAACTTTCAAATCAGTGCCGGATAAAGCTAGTGCGGGGCCTGTAGCATGATGTTATTAAGGGGCCCTAAATAAAACAAAGACATAAATGTTAAAACACAAATTTTAACTTGCATAGTAAAGTAATTTTATTTTTTCATTTGCTATACAGCCAGATAATAGGACAAATCGCTAACATTAAACACCCAGTCGTTCATAAACGTTGAAGGCAGTATAGTACTAGAGTAATAGAGCAAGTGCAGAATCAATGATCCGGAATTGATAGCTTTAAAGCATTTAGCGCGGGGCACTTGAAAGTGCGGGGCCCGTAACTACTACACGTGTAGCAGCAAATACATATGTAGTGGCTACATCATGTGTAGCTACTACACGTGTAGCTACTACACGTGTAGCTACTAGACGTGTAGCTACTACACATGTAGCTACTAGACATGTAGCTACTAGACATGTAGCTACTAGACATGTAGCTACTACACATGTAGCTACTACACATGTAGCTACTAGACATGTAGCTACTAGACATGTAGCTACTAGACATGTAGCTACTAGACATGTAGCTACTAGACATGTAGCTACTACACATGTAGCTACTACACATGTAGCTACTACACATGTAGCTAGTACATATGTAGCTCCTTTTGCTCCTAGGATAATCCGGCACTGTCCAATTTGTGTTCATAATAAAGTAAGGCTTTTCCACATAATATGATTTTATATATTATCTTTGAATTGTATTACCACATTTTCAGGGTACAGCATTGTGAGAAGAGTATGGGAATGACAGCCCCAATGTATTCTCCATTGTACGGCAACGTGGTCTCTGCACGTTACTATCATAACACTTCTCATTGTTATTATTAAGCTTTGGTTCGCGTATGTTGAACTTCATTTCGCACCGTACGTAGCCAATCGTACTAATCGGAGGTGCGTGTTGTGTGTGTGCGTGTTGTGTGTGTGTGTGTTGCGTGTGTGTGCGTGTTGTGTGTGTGTTGCGTGTGTGTGCGTGTTGTGTGTGTGTGTGCGTCTTGTGTGTGTGTTGTGTGTTGTGTGTGTGTTGTGTGCGTGTTGTGTGTGTGTGTTGTGTGTGTTGTGTGTGTGTGTTGTGTGTATGTGTTGTGTGTGTGTGTGTTGTGTGTGTGTGTGTTGTGTGTTGTGTGTGTGTTGTGTGTGTTGTGTGTGTGTTGTGTGTGTGTGTTGTGTGTGTGTTGTGTGTGTGTTGTGTGTGTGTTGTGTGTGTTGTGTGTGTTGTGTGTGTGTTGTGTGTGTGTTGTGTGTGTTGTGTGTGTTGTGTGTGTGTGTGTTGTGTGTGTGTGACTGCGCAGGGTCCCGGCTTCCACGCGTCTCGGCGCGCGCGTCACGGGAACGTCTTCAAGACGCACCTGCTGGGCCGGCCCGTGGTGCGCGTGACGGGCGCGCAGCACGTGCGCCGGATCCTCATGGGCGAGCACGCGCTCGTGAGCGCCTGCTGGCCCGCGAGCACGCGCATGCTGCTGGGCAGCAACACCCTCATCAACTCGGCGGGAGAGGCGCACCGCACGCGTCGCAAGGTGCGTGGGCGCGCTGGGTGGGCGGCGCGCACCCACCCACCACCACTACCACCCACCCATGACCACCACCACCCACCAACACACCACCACCCATCCACCCACCCACTAACCACCCACGCATCCTTCCACCACCACCCACTCACTACCACCCACCCGCGACCACCACCACCCATCAACCACCACCACCCACCCACTACCACCACCAACCACCCCCTCCTCCATATCGTCACCATCGGCATCACCGCCACTACCTCCGTCACTGCAACCGCGAGTACCCGCTGAAGGGGCAAGTGCTGTTAGCGGGCACCTACGAAGGCCGGCACGGCACACGAGGGGGTGGGTGGCCAGCACCACGCCCCACCGTCTTTGCCTCACAGGTGGCAGTGATTTTACACACGGCACCAGGTACTCATTTGAGGCTGAGTCGACCTAGGGGAGGCCCAGGACCGGTTCGAATAATCTTAACCGGTGTTGGCCGTGAGCGGGAATCGAACTCCCGTAGCCGGGTTCGCACTGTCGCGTCACCGCTCCCCGACGCAGCACCCCGTGCTGACACACACACACGCACACACACACGCACACAAAAGACAAAGATCCCCCGTATAGCCTTAACAGACTGTAGGGGCAAGTGCTTTTAGCGAGCACCTATTAAGGCCGGAACGGTACACGAGGGGGTTGGTGGCCAGCACCACGCCCGACCGCCTTTGTCTCCCTAGTGGCAATGTTTACACACCGCACCAGGTACTCATTTGAGGCTGAGTCAACCTAGGGGAGGCCCGGGACCGGTTCAGATAATCGTCACTGGTGTTGGCCGTGAGCGGGAATCGAACCCGGGTCGCCAGGTTAATAGCGCAACGTGCTAACCGCTACACTATCGCTCCCCCACACACGCACACACACACGCACACACACACACGCACACACACACACACGCACACACACACGCACACAAAGACACACACGCGCACACACACGTACACACGCACACACACACACACTCAAAGACACATGCACACAAAGACACACACGCACACACACATACGCGCAAACACACGCACACACACGCGCACACACACGCACACAAAGACACACACACGCGCAAACACGCACACAAAGACACACACACGCACACACACACAAAGACACATACACACACAAAGACACACACGCACGCACACAAAGACACACACGCGCACACACACGTACACACGCACACACACACACTCAAAGACACATGCACACAAAGACACATACACACACAAAGACACACACGCACGCACACAAAGACACACACGCACGCACACAAAGACACACACACGCGCGCGCACACACGCACGCACACACACAAAGACACACGCACGCACGCACACACACACGCGCACAGACGCACGCACACACACAAAGACACACACGTACACACACAAAGACACACACACACAAAGACACACGCACACACACAAAGACACACACACGCACGCGCACACACGCACACACACAAAGACACACACGCACACACACGCACACACACACACACAAAGACACACACACACACGCACACACACACACAAAGACACGCACGCACACAAAGACACACACACACGCACGCGCGTCGTCGCTTCTCCGCCCGTCGTCCCACCGCCGCGTAGTGCTCCTTGCCAATCCCGGCTCTCCCTCCTCCCGCCACGCGAGCAGGTGCTGTCCAAGGTGTTCAGCCGCGCGGCCCTGGAGAGCTACGCGCCGGGGGTGGCGCGCGTGGTGCGCGCCGCGGTGCGCGAGTGGCGCGCGCGCGCCGGCGCCGAGGTGCGGGTCTACCCGGCCTGCCAGGCCCTCATGTTCCGCGTGGCCGTGCGCGTGCTGCTCGGCCTCGAGCCGTCCCCGCCCGATATGGCCACCTTCTCGGCCGACTTCACGCAGTTCGTGGACAACATCTTCTCCCTGCCCGTCGACCTGCCCTTCAGCGGACTCCGCAAGGTGCGCGCCGGCCGTGGCTCCGTCTCTGCCGCGGTCGTCATCCTGCGTGCCACGCACCGTGGCGGTGGCCGACGTCGCCACCAGCCACCGCCCCCCACAGCAGTGCCAGACGGAGCTAGTGCGGGGCCCGTAGAATATGGTATAAAGGGGCCCTAAATAAAATAAAAACACGTAAATATTAATTAAAAAATACTTTTTTTACTTGCATAGTGAAGTAATTGTATTTTTTCATTTGCTTTACGGCCAGACAAATCACTAACCTTAAACACCCAGTCGTTCATAAAAGTTGAAGGCGGTATAGTACTATAGTAATAGAGCAAAGTGCAGAATCACTGAACCGGAATTGATAGCTTGAAAGCATTTAGCGCGGGGCCCTTGAAAGTGCGGGGTCCGTAGCATTTGAAGCGACTTTTGCTCCTCGGATAATGCGGCACTGCCTCACAGCGCATCACTGCACGTTTGAATACTTTTCGCAAGACAATCGCATGCAATGTTTTTTTGTTTTCAGACAATCGAAGCAAAACGCGATGCAGTACATCAATCGATTATGTCCACATTCTGTAGTTGCAAACCGAGTGGGAAGCCATTGTTGCGCGCAATCGCGGGTCTTGGGAGAGGGCGGAGGAGTAACTCGATGACGATTTCCAGGGACTGCGAGCCAGAGACTCCATGCACAAGTTCCTGGAGAGCACGCTGAGCGAGAAGCTGGCGTCGAGGCACGCCGGCGGGCGCACGCACGCCGACGCCATCGACTACATGCTGGAGAGCGCCCGCGAGCAGGGGATCGAGCTGAGCGCCAAGGAGATCAAGGTAGGCGACACGAGTAGGGAATACCTGAACCGGTCCTGGGACTCCCATAGTTCGACTAATCCTCAAATGAGTTCACCGGGTACGATGGATAAACATCGCCACTCGGGAGACCGAGTCGGGCCGGGCGTGGTGCTGGCCATCCGGCCCTTCGTAGGTGCTCGCTAACAAAACTTGCCCCAACGGTCCGTTAAGGCTACGTGGGGGATCTTTGTCTTTGCGTGGCGTGTGCCTGCACGTGACAGGAGGCTGCGGTGGAGCTCATTTTTGCCGCGTACTCCACCACGGCGAGCGCGTGCACATCGCTCGTGCTGCTGCTGCTCACGCACCCCGAGGCGCTGGCCAAGCTGCGGGCCGAGCTGCGTGCGCACGGCCTCCCCGAGGCGCCCTGTTGTGGCTGCGCGCACCGCCCTGACGCCGCAGACGCCACCGCCGCGGCGTCCCGGCCGCACGCCGAAGGGGCCGGGATCTCGACGTCGCCCGCTTCCGAAGAGGCCGGGGACGCGAGCGCAGTTCGGCTCGAGGGACACCGGCGGGCCGAAGGCGAGCCGGGGGGCGAGACGGAGGGGAAGCGAGAGGACGGACGACGCACGGCGAGCGGCGCCAGGGAGTGGCAGAACCCGGCTGAGGAGGAGGGAAACCTCGTGGAGAGGATGAAGGTGGCAGCGGGAGAGGCGGAGGAAGGGGACGCGCGGGAGGACGGCTGCCGCAAGTGCGAGCCGACCCTGGGGCCGGAGCGGCTGTCGCGGCTGCGGTACCTCGACTGCGTGGTGAAGGAGGTGCTTCGGATGCTGCCCCCCGTGTCGGGCGGCTACCGCACCGCCCTGCGCACCTTCGAGCTGGACGTGAGTCCGCAGGCGGCAAGGTCACAGTACTCGCATGCCGTCACTGTATTTCGACTCACGGCAGCTGTAATTTACAGACATCGCGATGACGATGTCATTTGGCTATTTCGTGACATCACAGTTACATCACTGAAGGTATCATATAGAAAAGAAAAAAAAGACTTGAGGGATCACAGACATCACATGTTGATGCAGATAACAGGATTCATGAATGAAATGATAATAATCATTGTTATTCACCAAACATGAAATATAATTTGCAGTTTTGCAATGGCGGTATTCTTGGTGCGCTATTCTCCAAATAAAATGCACCGTCTTTCGTGGCCCTCTGGCTCTCATTCATACTTTAAAAACTCTTGCCTTCTTCTTCTTCTTCTCGTTTGCACCACATATCCACCCAGGGCTTCCAAATCCCCAAAGGCTGGAGCGTGCTGTACAGCATCCGGGACACGCACGACACGGCGCCCGTGTTCCCAGACCCCGAGCACTTCCAGCCAGAGCGCTGGGCCAGCGAAGACCCCGACTCGGCGGGAGAACCGGGCGACTCGATTCCCGCCGCCGGCCGCGCCAAGGGCGCCTGCGGGGACGCGGCGCGGGCCGACGCTCGCTTCAGCTACGTGCCATTCGGCGGCGGCGTGCGGGGCTGCGTGGGCCGCGAGCTCGCGCGCCTCATGCTCAAGCTGCTGGCCGTGGAGGTGGCCGGCTCGAGCCGCTGGGAGCTGGCGAGCGCCGAGCCGCCCCGCATGCAGAACGTGCCCATCGTGCACCCCGTGGACGGCCTCCGCGTTCGCTTCTACGGCCTGGACGCCAACCACAACCAGCTGTAGAGGGCCGGGCTCGCGCGAGGTGCCCGTGGGGTCTCGTGGGTTCGCGTCTAGAGCTGGGGGGTATGTTAGGTTTGGATTTTGGAGTACGATTTTGGCTTTAGTTGAGGCAAGGCACATCGGGTTCTGGATTAAGTCAGGTGTGGTCCAAATTCGATTGGATATGGACCAAGTCAGATTGGGGCTTGCTTCGTTTCTGGGTCAAATTGGATTTGATATTTTCAGGACCTGGTTAGACAGAGCCTGATCGGCATAGGATTCGACCGGACTTGCCTCTTTCGATTGAATTGGACCAATTCGATCCCTGTCTGACCAAGGCTGGATTGGAGCTGGGGTCAATTCGCGAGGTCAAATGTGACCTAGTCGTGGCTTGCCGTACTCAGGTCTTGGCTGGGGCAGGCCAGACCAGGCTCTGTGCCACTCCAGGTCATGTGATCCGAGTTGAATGAAGCCCCCTGCCTTCAGAACCATGTTTTTCCTCTGGCTCAACCACATCTCGTGTCAACAACAACAAACGATGGCAGGCAATCTTGACGCCGCCTCTCCAGCAGGATGATCGAGGACCAGAAGCACGAATGAGGATACATTTTGCGAGATCAGTATTAGGAGCACGTGCAGTGTCACAGTCAAGCAGAGGTTCATTCTGATACTTTGGGACTGGCAGCAGCTGTATTTGGAGGAACATTGTCTGTGTGGATACACACGCTGTCGCGTAATGCAGGTGTGTGGTTTATGATGAGGTAAAGCTATCTCCACAGGTGTGGTGGATCTCTCTGGCAGCCTGCTTACATCACATGCCGTCGGACTTGATGAAGGCAAATAATTTAGCAGGGGTCGTTAAGGAATTGTGATGCGACTTTGATTTTTAGTGATGAACTCACATTTTAGAAGGTGGCGCTTATTCAACAAACCCCCATTTGAGTGATGCAAGGGGCATGGGGAGGGGTGGATGGGGGCTGAATTGCCCCCATCACCCCCCTCACCGCTGGATTCGGGGCAGCACCACAACATTTTCCACGTGTCAGGATCACCTGGCTGTTTGGTGTGGGAGTATAAATCGCGTGACGCATTTCTCGCTGACATCGAGAGCCCTGATGGAGACGCTGCAGCCAAGGGGGTAATGCACCAGAAACTCTCACGGAATCAGCAAAGGATGTGGGTTAGACTCCTGGGCTCAATAACGATGTGCTTATTTCGGCAAATTAACCTTTAATACTCAGCGTTTCGATTAGTTAGGGAAACAATTAAGTTGTGTGAAATAAATGTAAAGGTATTCCAAATTGTCGAGAGGACGCGTGTCTTCGACGACGTGCCGAGCTTCGCCCCGTCATGTTGCTGCCCCTCGGTTGCAGCGCCGACGAAGCGAGCGATGTGGTCTGTTGTAATTATTGTGTGGACAATGCATTCTCATCTACATTACTTTCGGGTGCGGTGGTGGGGGGAGGGGGGTTACAGTAAAGAGAATGTATTATTTACTGTGTATGTAATGTTAAAAATAAGCCAATTAGCTACGACTGAACCTTTTCCGACAACCCCGCCAACATCCTCAATGGATTTTTAGTGTGGCGCTATAGCCAACCGCTGCCTTCCCCAAGCTTCCGGGTGAGGAGTTAGAGCCCCCCTAGCCGCCCGTGACACTGGCAATGAATGAAGCAATAGTTGTTAGTGAGCACCTATGAAGGTCAGCAGAACATGCAAAGCACTGCCAGGCTTAGAGCCATTGTGCGTGTCATATAATTAGCCCTTGTCTCCAACTGCTGGGATACCACGACAACTTGCACTCAGTTTATTCTGAGTGAACCTGGGTAGGCCTAAACTTGCGTTACATAAAAACAAATATGTACACTGTTCATGTACACGGTCTCACAATATAATTATTAATATAGGAAAAGCGAATAATTTATTTATAGATAGGCCCATGACGAGCACATTGCTTGGTACACAATCATCACCATCATCATTTACATTGTTATCAGTAGTGGCCATTTCAAATCCCCTGCTGGATCAAAGCCCTCCAATGCTGTTGTCAGGTGCCACAGTCCTCATGAAAGTTGCAATCAAAAATGGCACTTAATAAAAATAATAGCACTTGACTACAATCACATATATGTATATATTATAGAGTATTGCCGTACTTATGTATATACCTTGCAGACGATACCAACAGTACACTATGTGGATATATGCAATACTTAACTGAGCATTTATGTCCGCCTTCAAATTGTATATGTAATATAATATTTTCGAATAAGGCTATATATATGAACCTGTATAGTGGTATAACTGTGTGTGGGTACAACTGCTGTTACCATTCTTTTTTTGTATTATTAACATTACTGCTGTGTGTCCAACCCGCTTTGCCCATTAGGCTGCTGCAACATATGTTTTATTTACAAACTCAACTTGGAAAGATGTTTTTTTGTTTCTGGATTACAACAATGTTTATAATTGGTCATGTGATCATATGCTTGCTCAATTGGACTCATGAAAATAGCGTCAAAGTTTTTATATTTTTTTATATTTACCCAAGAAAGTATTTACGTGTCTTGAATTGGGTTCAAAAGTATTCTCTTGCTTGGGGTTTGAGGCCAATTACAATAATATCATCCACAATAGAGGTTGTTTGGGGTCAGATCGCGTAAATATATAAATGTGCCGTTAAAACCCGCCACCACCCGACACGGCCAACTAGTAAGGGTTGTCACGTAAACAGAACATGGTCTCTAGTACAGCACTAACCGGTGTGTTGAAGAGCCAAGCCACAACATTTACAAACTGAGTATGACGTTTCGCCAGTAATTACAACTATTTATATATTTACACGATCTAACCCAACCTCTATTATGGATGATATTGGTCGCGAAAGCCTACGTGTTAAACTACAATAATATATATTGTATTTGGATTACAGAACACCCATGCATATGAGAGGAAACTGCTGTACATATATTGGTCATAAACCTACCTGCCCGGTACAGCCATCTAGCCAAATTAGCCGACTGGATATAAACAACTGTGTTCACTTGTGTGGGTCCCTCTCTCAGGAGGCTGCTTACAGTAGCCGAGTGTTGTGCGTCTCCCTACAAAGAACATTGTTTTGTGCATCAGAGAAACATAATTGCTGCTTCGAACGTGGACGGTTTGTATCCAGGTGTTCTGCATCCTGTAGCGTCCCATTTGGGAACGATGACGTCAAGGATTTATGACTTTCGTGTGCCACTTTAAAGCTCTTGTACGAATTCTCCATTTTCGTTCCAATACCCCACCGACACACACATCTACCGTCTCTCTCCTATTTAAGTGTAATCAATATATGAACAACATAATATTTCTAATAAAAATTAACATATTTACCATGCTGTGTGTGTGAAAATACAATAATTTAAAATCCAATAAGATGACACGTGTGGCTGTGGTTGTCAGCAATTTTAAATGCATCCAATGTTGAGTTGCTATGTAAGTGACGGACATGAAGTCTCAGCATGTTCCCCCACGGTATAGGGTCATGAAACATTCTATTTGTGAGTTTTTGGTTTGTATGGTAACACAAAAAACCCCGTCCAAATTTTAAGATTTGGTCTCACCCTTGAAAACAAATATCACAGTCCAGGGCAATGGTTGGCCACCTTCTATTTGGGTTAGATCGCGTAAAAATATATTAGTCGTGTCGTTAAACCCGCCACCACCCGACACAGCCATTTAGTAAGGTTTGTCACGTAAATAGAATATACTAAATCGTTCCTAGTACAGCACACTGCTTGTGTGTTGGAGAGCAAATCCACAACATTTACAATGGATTTGCTCTCCAACAAACACGCAGTGTGTCGGGTGGTGGCGGGTTTAATGACACATTAATATTCACGCAATCTAACCATAAAAACCCTAAATTATGGATGATATTGGTCGCGAACGCCTGCGATGTGTTAAACTCACCGATTTGTGAGGTCCTTTCCAGACGAATCAGCTGTGCTCGTACCCCTATCAGCCCAATAAACTTGTGTTCACCTACCGAGAGTAAAGTCTTTATACATTTAGAGAGAAATGAAAAATTACTACATTTTAGCAAAGGTGTTTTTGTTATTTGCTGGCACGAGACTTTATAAATCAGTTGCTCAGATTTGAAGCTATCACATTCCAGGGTTAAAACCATATGCCTGCAAACATAAACAATTACAAACAAGGGCGATCGTTCAACACAATGCTGCCAGTTTAAAATACTGTAACAGGTAGTTTAAAGTCTAAAAACCCCACAAGAGCGCAGCAGGGAAACACACCTCCAAATTAAAAATGCCGATTGTGAACATCCTAAAGTTCCAAGTCCTTGTTTTAAGTGTCAACAGCAATGCCTGCGAGGCTCTGAAACCTCACGCCAGCACTGCAACAAGCAACAGGACAAAGGGTACGTGACATATTAGGGTAACAGAAGATATTAATCCACAGCACAATATGGATTACAAGGGTCAGTGCAATCAGAGGCTGATTAGGGGCAGTGGTCTTGGTGGTGAGGGCAGTGACAGGCGTCTGTGGGCTTACGCTGCCGGGTGGTCTGGCGGTCGGCGTGACTCCAGCCACTGCAGTTCGCTGATATATTTAACGGTTCAATTCCAGCAACCTCGTGTGTGTGCAGTATTAGGCCATGACTAAGATGTGGCTTCTGACGGTAAGTGGATGTGCAAGACACTGCGATGCCATTTACAGAGGTGCGCCACGGTATCTTAACTGTTTAGGGCACCAACATTTCCTGGAAAAATAAAAGCAGTAATTTTTCCTGAGTAGGGAAGGTCGCACAGCATAGAATATTCAAAACAGTCATCGTCAAACACTGGCTTATTTACTTAGAAAGACTGGATGAAGATCAAACTAATATTTTGAGTACTTGCCCTTCTTCAGGGCAGATAGACATTATTTGGTGATTTAACACGTAATAGGCTTTCGCGACCAATATTATTCATAATAAAGGTTTTTGGGTTAGATCGCGTTATTTATAAATGTGTCGAAACCCTCCACAATCCAGCATCATCGGGCGAATTGCCCGATGATGCTGGATGTAATTACCAGCGAAACGTCGTACTCAAACTGTAAATGTTGTGGATTCACTCTTCAACACATCGGTGGGCTAAAGTAGTGAACTAATTGTTTTTTGTCAACGTGACACTTTATTTTGCTGATTGGCCGTGTCGGGTGGTGGAGGGTTTCGACACATTTATAAATAACGCGATCTAACCCAACAATCTTTATTATGAATTATTTGGTGATGCTGCGTTGGCAGTAAGTATGTTGAACTTCCTTCTCACCATACGTAGCCAACCCTGTTAATCGGAGATGCGGTTAACACCACGTTGATCGATAGCACTGCTTTAAAAGGAAAACAAATACGTGACGTTTTGGGCAATGCCCCTTCATCATGTTACTCTGAAATACAGTGAGGGAAAAAAGTATTTGATCCCCTGCTGATTTTGTACGTTAGCTCACTGACAAAGAAATGATCAGTCTATAATTTTAATGGTAGGTTTATTTGAACAGTGAGAGAGGGAATAACAACAACAAAATCCAGAAAAACGCATGTCAAAAATGGTATAAATTGATTTGCATTTTAATGAGGGAAATACGTATTTGACCCCTCTGCAAAACATGACTTAGTACTTGGTGACAAAACCCTTGTTGGCAATCACAGAGGTCAGACGTTTCTTGTAGTTGGCCACCAGTTTTGCACACATCTCAGGAGGGATTTTGTCCCACTCCTCTTTGCAGATCTTCTCCAAGTCATTAAGGTTTCGAGGCTGACGTTTGGTAACTCGAACCTTCAGCTCTCTCCACAGATTTTCTATGGGATTAAGGTCTGGAGACTGGCTAGGCCACTCCAGGACCTTAATGTGCTTCTTCTTGAGCCACTCCTTTGTTGCCTTGGCCGTGTGTTTTGGGTCATTGTCATGCTGGAATACCCATCCACGACCCATTTTCAATGCCCTGGCTGAGGGAAGGAGGTTCTCACCCAAGATTTGACGGTACATGGCCCCGTCCATCGTCCCTTTGATGCGGTGAAGTTGTCCTGTCCCTTTAGCAGAAAAACACCCCCAAAGCATACTGTTTCCACCTCCATGTTTGACGGTGGGGATGGTGTTCTTGGGATCATAGGCAGCATTCCTCCTCCTCCAAACACGGCGAGTTGAGTTGATTCCAAAGAGCTCCATTTTGGTCTCATCTGACCACAACACTTTCACCCAGTTGTCCTCTGAATCATTCAAATGTTCATTGGCAAACTTCAGCCGGGCATGTATATGTGCTTTCTTGAGCAGGGGGACCTTGCGGGCGCTGCAGGATTTCAGTCCTTCACGGCGTAGTGTGTTACTAATTGTTTTATTCGTGACTATGGTCCCAGCTGCCTTGAGATCATTGACAAGATCCTCCGGTGTAGTTCTGGGCTGATTCCTCACCGTTCTCATGATCATTGCAACTCCACGAGGTGAGATCTTGCATGGAGCCCCAGGCCGAGGGAGATTGACAGTTCTTTTGTGTTTCTCCCATTTGCGAATAATCGCACCAACTGTTGTCACCTTCTCACCAAGCTGCTTGGCAATGGTCTTGTAGCCCATTCCAGCCTTGTGTAGGTCGACAATCTTGTCTCTGACATCCTTGGATAGGTCTTTGGTCTTGGCCATGGTGGAGAGTTTGGAAACTGATTGATTGATTGCTTCTGTGGACAGGTGCCTTTTATGCAGGTAACAAGCTGAGATTAGGAGCACTCCCTTTAAGAGTGTGCTCCTAATCTCAGCTCGTTACCTGTATAACAGACACCTGGGAGCCAGAAATCTTTCTGATTGAGAGGGGGTCAAATACTTATTTCCCTCATTAAAATGCAAATCATTTTTTAACATTTTTGACATGCGTTTTTCTGGATTTTTGTTGTTATTCTGTCTCTCACTGTTCAAATAAACCTACCATTATAATTATAGACCAGTGGTTCTTAACCTGGGTTCGATCGAACCCCAGGGGTTCGGTGAGTCGATCTCAGGGGTTCGGCAGAGCCCCCGCCACGGAGGTCCGGACACACTTGAATTATTGTGTAAATTGGTGATGACACACACGGCCCGCTTGGCCATCACTGGCTGCAGATGATCATGCTACACTGCTTGGCCAATCAGCGCTGCGGGGAATTTAGTGCGTACTCAGTAGTCAACGTGTGACTGTTGTTGTCGTACGTCGTGTGATTTCTTTAATATTTTATCCATACTAACTATGTCGGGCAAAAGAAGAAAGTGGTCGGACGAATATGTACAACATGGATTCTCATGTATCACGGAACGTGATGGGAGTGAGCGTCCTATCTGCATGATTTGCAACGCCAAGTTGAGCAACTCTAGTCTTGCACCGGCAAAACTAAAGGAACACTTCTTGAAGCTGCATGGAGACGGGAAATACAAGAACACAACACTTGCTGAATTCAGGGTGAAGAGAGCCAGATTCGATGAAAGGGCCACTCTGCCTGCTCTTGGATTTGTACCTGTTAACAAACCGATCCTGACAGCATCGTACGAAGTTGCTTACCTGATCGCAAAGCAGGGCAAGCCACACACCATTGGTGAAACACTTGTGAAACCAGCTGCATTAAAGATGGCGAATCTGATACTCAGAACAGCGGCCGAAGGTAAATTATCCCAAATTCCCCTTTCAAATGACACCGTCAGTGACAGAATAGAAGACATGAGTAAAGACATCTTGGC